TGCTGGGAGCACAGCTGACCCACTGACCTGGATGGCGTGCTTCAGAAATGTTATGTGAGAGTTGTTTATGTGAAAAAGAAACAAACTTCTTTGTTCTTTAAACCACTGCACTGTCGAGTCTCTTTGTTACAGCAGCTTAGCCTTTTATCCTAACTAATAAAACCATGCAGCTTCCTTTGTACGTTTTCACAATAGTTTCACAAGTGACCAGTTGGCCATCTTTTTAGAAAAGGGCCCTAACTGCCCAAGCAGGTGATAATCAAATGATGAAATTCTTTCCTGTGGCTACTATTTCCAGATTTCTTCATCCTGGTTAAAGGCTATTTAAGGATTAAATCGGATCATTTATGTAGACAACCACTTAGCTTTTATCCTTTCATGTGATTAATTCAACCGGTATTTGACTTTTTAGATGTTGGGAATATAGACAGGTTACTTATTATATTCATAAAAAGTTTGCTTTCTAGTGTTTTGTTGTTTTTTAATGTTTTACTATGTTTTAAGCAGAAAAATCCTTTTTATTTAAAAAAATTTTTAAATGTTTATTTCTGAGAGAGACAGCGTGAGCAGGGGAGGGTCAGAGAGGGAGACACAGAATCTGAAGACAGGCTCCAGGCTCTGAGCTAGCTGTCAGCACAGAGCCCGATGCGGGGCTCGAACCCATGAACCGTGAGATCATGACCTGAGCCGAAGCCGGACACTTAACCGACTGAGCCACCCAGGCACCCAAGAAAAATCCTCTTTGTAGGAAATGAGGCTAAGAATACAAATAGTTACTGAGGGTTACAAAGGATCAAACAATGTACCTATAGATGAACTGTTTTCCTGCTTAGTCCTGAAAATCAAGCAAGATATTTAAAAAAAAAATTTAATGTTTATTTTTGAGGACAGAAAGACAGAGTGCGAGCAGGGGAGGGGCAGAGAGAGAGGGAGACACAGAAACCGAAGCAGGCTCCAGGCTCAGAGCTGTCAGCTCAGAGCTGGATGCAGGGCTCGAACTCACAAACTGCAAGATCATGACCTGAATCAAGTCAGACGCTTAAGCGACTGAGCCACCCAGGCACCCCCATCAAGCAAAATACTTTAAAGACTAAGAATCCAGCTCTCTTTTCAGAGTATCTCCTACCACTTAAAATCAGCATTGCCTGAACTATAAGAAGTGTAAAGCCTCAAGACTTTTACTTTATATGTCAATTTTATCTCAATAAAACTAGGAAAAAAAATTTGCCGACAGAGGTATATGGACCTAATAGCTTGCTGAGTGTTGGAATTAATTAGCAAAGCCACTTAGATAGCACTGTGTGGACTGGGGACTCTGAGCACCTGGACTAAAGGGCTCCGCTGTCGGCGGATCAGCTGAGGCCAGATGGTACAAAATGGCACTCCCCATCCTCCCTGCAGGCTGAACAAATAGCCCAGGGCGAGTTTCCACAGTCCTTTCCAGCTCTCAGATGGATCTGGAATGTGACTTAGTAGTAGTGAGAGAGGAGAGGGAGGCTGAAGTCTGTCCTGGCTTTGCCACAACCCGCTGTGACAATGGAACATGTTTGGGGCCTCAGTGTCCCCATCTGCACAAGAAGGTGGCTAAGGACCCTTTCATCTCTACACTTAGGACAATCACTAGGAAGAACCATTCTCCTTCCCTACACTTAACAGCAAAGTCATTCAGAAGGCAGCAGGCAGACAAGGGGAAATCTACCTGGGTGCAGTGCTTCAGACCAGGGCACCCGGTCTAAGCTCTCCGCTGATGGGGAAGGAATTCCATCTGGCTGGATTGATAGTTTCTAATAGGGGCAGTAAGCACACTGTCAGTGCCTTAAATGTGGCTTAAATGTCGTCGTAGGTACTTCATCAGTATTAGGCACTTGGATGTTTTCTTTCAAGAAATTCCTGATTTCCAATTGCCATAGAGATTGCAATGTGTTCCTCCAGGTACTTCAGATGGAAGGATTAAAGGCTTTGTGAGGTAGGATGATTAAAACTAGTTTTTCCTGCTTCTGCATTAAAACTTTTTTTAAAGCTTTAAAATATATTTAGCGACTTGAGTGAAGAGCATTTCAGAGACTAAGGCTCCTCCTAAAAACAGCTAGCTTAACAGGGCTGTGAAGTCGGCAGTCCTCGCCTAGATTCCAGCTCTGGGGGCTGCTAGCTGTACTCCTGTGCTGAGCTGCTTCCGGTGAGAAATAGCATCCTCCACTCCCCTCACCACCCCCTCCCTCTCCCCCCGGGCTGTGTGAGAAGAGAATGCATATAGTTTGGTCCTGCTTGACCCACAGTCAAGTATTCATCGCCTCCTTCCAGTGGAGACATGTGACTTCCTGCCTTGTTAGCTCCTTAAGTAGCTAATAATAAACCGATTGGGAAAAGTATACTATTGTTTATTTAATGTAAAGAAGAACATGGGGTGGGGCACCTTGGTGGCTCAGTCAGTCGAGCAGACAACTTCAGATCAGGTCATTATCTCATGGCTCCTGAGTTCGAGCCCCGCATCCGGCTCTGTGCTGACCGTCTGGAACCTCTTCAGATTCTGTGTCTCCGTCTCTGCCCCTCCCCTGCTCATGCTCTCAATCAAAAACACTTAACATTAAAAACAAAACAAAACAAAACAAAACCTACGCGGTGGATACAAAGATAATTTCTTGGATTATAAAAAACTATTGAAATTCAAAGCCGTTAAAAATGGGTAAAGCTCGGGGCGCCTGGGTGGTTCAGTCGGCTAAGCGTCCGACTTAGGCTCAGGTCATGATCTCGTGGTTCGTGGGTTCGAGCCCCGCGTCGGGCTCTGTGCTGACAGCTCAGAGCCTGGAGACTGCTTCAGATTCTGTGTCTCCCTTTCTCTGACCTTCCCCTGCTCATTCTGTCTCTCGCAGAAATTAAAAAAAAAAAAAAAAGGAGGGAGAAGAGAAGCCGCTGAAGTCACGGGGACAAGCCCAGCTTTCCGAGTCACGTGGTACCGTTTCCGCAGGCATGGGTAGACTCCCGCCCTCCTGCCATGCTGTGTCTCCCACGTGCCCCAGCACATGCCTTCCCCCAACACATGCACCCACTCCCACACAGCATGACCAGGGTGGCCAGAGGCTCTTGGGTTACTTGCTCTTATAGCAAGTGTCCTCTCTTTGCAACAGCTCTCTAATTCTGTAAGTATTTAATCAGCGTGGACCTGGATCACCTCTGTACCTTGGAGTCTAGCAAAGCACCATGCACATAGTAAGTTCTAGGGTATCTGCTGGCTCAAGGAACGGGCTGGCCATACCTGAAGAATTCCTCAGAGGCAGGGGCGTCTAGGTGGCTCAGTCTGTTTGGTATCCGACTTCAGCTCAGGTCATAGTTTTACTGCTCCTGAGTTTGAGCCTCGCCGTTGGGCTCTGTGCTGACAGCTCAGAGCCTGGAAGCTGCTTCGGATTCTGGGTCTCCTTTTTTCTGTCCCTCCGCAGCTCATATGTCTCTCTTGCTCTCAAAAATAAAGTAGTAAAAAAAAAAAAAAATTCCTCAGAGGCTGGTTTGGGCCTAATGCTGGCATCTGAATGAAGTTCAGGATACAAGGTCAGTGAACCCTGCTGGGGTTGACTGGGGAACTCTAGGGTCGGTGGTTAAGGCCTAAAACAAGAGACCTGATAGCAGTGGCAGGAGAAATCAACGGAGATATTGCCAACAGGTAAGGTGACAGATGAAGACAGTATGTGCTAAATCCTATCTTTTTGGGTAAGGGGGGAAGAAAAGAATGTATATTTGTGTTTATTCTTTTTTTCATTAAAAAAACTTGAGAGAGATAAAAGAAACAAATATTAATTATGTATTGGGGGAGAAGGGGATAGATGTGGGACCAAGATTTCTCAATGAATGTCTTTTTATGTCATTTTAATTTTAGGGCTACATAAGCAAATTTAGTGAAAAAGTAAAACTTTAAAAAAATGTTAGAAGGGGAAAAAAGCAGGTGAGGCTATGGAGTTCAGCAGTGTTTAAAACGGTCAATCAAGTTCAGAAGTTTTTACCTTCTCTTCGTAGGCATGGCTAACTAAGAATTGCTTTCACTTTTTTTAAGTTTATTTATTTATTTTGAGAGAGAAAGGGGGGGAGGGAGAGCGGGGCAGAGAGAGGGAAAGAGAGAATCCCAAGCAGGTTCCACACTGTCAGTGCAGAGCCGGACACTGGACTCAAAACTCACAAACTGTGAGATCATGACCTGAGCAGAGATTACGAGTTGTACACTTAACCGACTGAGCCACAAAGGTGCCCCAAGAACTGATTTTTAAGGTCCAGCAGAAATGCTCCTTCTTACACAATCCCTTCCCCTCCTAAGTGCAATTCCACACACCTCTTTTGGCTGTTAGATATTCTCTGCCCTAGACTGGCTGCTTGTACAGTATGAACAAAGCTTCCTGAAAGCAAGATCGACACCTCATTCTATTTCTGTATTCCCTCTAGCCTTACACATAGTAATTCTGAACAAATAAAATATTACTTGAGTGGAGTTATTGCTTAATAGATATGCCTTGGGGCACCTGGATGGCAACTCAGTCGGTTGAGAGTCTGACTTCAGCTCAGGTCATGGTCTCGCGGTTCATGGGTTCGAGCCCTGCGTTGGGCTCTGTGCTGAATGCTTGCTCAGAGCCTGGAGCCTGCTTCAGATTCTGTGTCTCCTTCTCTCTGACCCTCCCTGCTCATGTTCTGTCTTTCTCAAAAATAAATAATGTAAAAAAATTTAAAAATAGGGGCGCCTGGGTGACTCAGCTGGTTAAGGGTCCGACTTCAGCTCAGGTCATGATCTCACAGTTCGTGGGTTCGAGCCCCGCGTCGGGCTCTGTGCTGACAGCTAGCTCAGAGCCTGGAGGCTGTTTCAGATTCTGTGTCACACTGTCTCTCTCTCTCAGAAATAGGTAAAACATTTAAAAAAATTTTTTTAATTAAAAAATAAGTAGATATGCCTTGTTTGGGGTGATGAAAAAGTTCTGCAAAGAGAGGTGACTGTTGTATAGCATAGTGAACAAAATCAATGTTGCTGAACTATAAACATAAAAATGCTTCATTTTATGCTAAATACATACATACACTCAACATTGCTGGAAATCACAAATCTTCAATAAAAGACCCTCTCCAGAGGTCTTCCAGGAATATGGTAAGTGCTCAATAAATATTTGCTAAATAATGAATAGACAGCATGATCATATGAAGAATGTTGAGACAGAAAAAGCGGTCATGTGGGTAACAGAGCCCACTGTGTATACACTAGATGTGGAATTTACATTTTTTTAAGCACTACAGAGACTCTTGGGAACTTTTTCTTTATTTAACTTTAAAAAAAATATATAGACTCCTAACTCAATAGAAAGACAGCAGTGATAGTAATTATTAGACAGGAGGAGCACAACAAACGTTTTCAAGCACCACGTCACGACCACCTCCTTTCTCTCCTTGTCTGTGGAATTCCAAGAACTGGCTGAGGTCACTCAATCATCTCACTGGGGCTGGTCCGTTCTTGCCATTCACTCAAATCCAGAACTCCTGATCTGTGGCTCACAAGACTTCAGTCATCTATAAAAGTATCTGGAAGGAAGATATTTTTAGCCAGAGTCAGGGACATAAAAACTTCTTTTTAAAGGGATATAGGGGAACTCAGTACTCATTACCAGAAAGATCCTCAAGTATAAAAAAGTGCAATCTGTACCTCTTTTAAAAATAGAACCTTTAAGGTTAAAAGGGGGGAAAATCCCTTCCCAAATCATCATTACCAGACACATCAGCCAAACAAGGAGCTAACAAGACCTGCTGTTTCCATGACAGAGAATGTGAGACTTTAAAACCACATCACAGAAGGAAAAAAATGGTGGGGGCTTTCTACATAGCACTCTTCAGCCCAGACGGGGACAGAGACCTAACCCTCCCTCCTGAACTGGGTCTCCACCTGTGCAAAGGCTCTGGGACATGTCTTTTAAACACTGGATTTCACCTCTTTCATATTCTGCTCTGGGGATCCTTTCTCCTTAAGCTCTTTGTCACAGTCTGGAGAAACACTCTGATTTTCTATGGTAGCAACAGCACCTGAGTCCAATCTTCTTCTTTTCTTCAGCTGGTGCAAGTGGGCTTTGGATTTTATATGTGCTGAGACAAAAGAAAAACAATAGCAGCAAAAAAAATTTTTTAACATCTATTTATTTTTGAAAGACAGAGAGACCAAGCACGAGTGGGGGAGGGGCAGAGAGAGAGGGAGACACAGAATCCGAAGCAGCTCCAGGCTCCGAGCTGTCAGCACAGAGCCCAGCGCAGGGCTCCAACTTGTGAACCACGAGATCATGATCCAAGTCAAAGTCGGACACTTAACCAACTGAGCCACCCAGGTGCCCCTCTCATTAGAACTTTCTAGAATCAATCCTAGAAGCATAAAAATTAACTATACAATCCCTTTCTTTAATAATAACAGGATCAACACATGTGCGGTATAGCTGTTTAGCATTTTTAAGGGAAGAATGAGTTACATGGCCAGCAAGCTACCTGGTATCAAGCAGACCCCGCTGGGTGCTTTATTTACATCACTAATCCTCACAGCAGTTGTGCAGGATGGTATTATTCAGCTCGCTTGATACAAACTAAAGTTCACCGAGGCCTTATGTTTTGTCCAAGGACACACAGCAGGTATTTTCTTCAGCTCATCTATAGTTCAAAAAGAGACCCAATTTTCCAGAGGCAGGGCTCTAGACTCACTTTTCCAGCATGGGGCTTCCTGTTACAGATAAATTACCTTTCCACTCACTCAGCTAAAAGTGACAAATCCAAATCCTTGTCCTCAGTGCAGGGCAGATTCTCTGCCCCACATCAGCCCCATAGCACCCAGAGCTGTCCTTTCCACTCCCCTGCTCACACAGGTTGGCCCTCCTGGTCTGACATCCCCATGCGTGGGCCAGATAAGCCATTCGAATGACTAACTCGCAAGCCTCGCATTCTCCAAGCACACAATGCTCCCGAGAGATAACGGGAAGCATTCTTCCCTGAGGAGCCCTTGTGAGAGCACACAGAAGCCGTAAAGCTGGGAGGCCACTGCTGCCTGATACCAATTCCTGACCTCTCACCCCAAAGACTGTTCCCACCCTCTGACTAACTCATCCCAGCGTCTTTTTATTTATTCTTTTTCAAGAAAATCTTATTTGGAAGCATCTAAAGAGATACATGACTAGATTAAACGCTCTTTGATATATATTAAAAACATTTTAAGTAAGGTTTTGAAGCAAAAAAAGAAAAAGTAAGGAAGAGGTTAGAAGTCAAAGAAAAGTTTACTTGGGGGAAAAAGTCAGCTTTATTCTCCAGCTAGAGCCTAAGGCAAAAAAAAAGAAAAAGAAAAAAGGGCTTCTGGCCTGGCTCTCCACGGCAGCAGGAGATGGGAGCACTGACTTGACAGATGGCGCTATAGAAGGGCTCACACAAGCTAAGCTCACAAAGGCTCACAAATGTTGCTTCTTTAAGGCTATCCCTGAAGGACATTCGACAAATCGAACCACTAAGTTTCCTTTAGAGAAAACAATCAGATGCTCTCTTTCTCTTCCCCTTTCATCATTATAAACCAACGACAATTGAGGCTTCTTCTGCTGCTTGAGCAAATCACAGCCATCCCCAGTCTCTGACAATGGCGTTCATTTTGCCAATGCTACCAGTTAATAGAACTAATCATTCTATTGGTTGGAATGGGGAGAAAACGTCATTTCTATGAGAATCCCATGCAAGGCAGTACTTGGAACAGAAGGATTCCAGCCACTGGGTACACCACAAGCCCTACTGTGCTCCAGAGGAGTGAGCCTTAAACGAGTTTCCAACTGCAGTGTGAGCTCAAGGCTTAGAGGTCCTGGCCCTTTGTGGGCTCTGACTGAGGACTAGAGGAATCGGACAGGGGGAGTGTGGGTATTACTGCGGCGGAGGCGGACCCAGGCTCTCAGAAGGAAAGAGAGCCTTAGGGAAGGGCCACGGCTGGTTGGTGTGAGTACCTTGAAAGAAGACAGCACCCCTGGATCACTGATCACTATCTTTATCCGTGTGGGACAGTCAGCTGCCACCACTCAACACTGTCTCACAGTCCCAAGCATCACCACGACTTCTATACAATACCCTAACAGTCATCAAAGAGACGCCACTTGCCAAGAGTGTACTGAGGAGGAGCCACGGCACGCACCCCCCCCCCGGCCTCCCCAGCTGGCTCTGGTCTGGGTCTCCTGGGTGAGTTGGCCAGTTCCCTTACGCTCGTACCTCACCCACACTGAGGTCTAAACATGAAGGACCCAGAAACTCCTAGAAGGTAGCATCAGGAAAGTCAAAGGAGCTCTGGGAAGTTAACTGCAGACCTCTCAGTATAAAATATCTACTCTAGCTGAAGTTGGAGGGCACACAACCTTCCTTGAAAATTCAGAACACACACATAACTCTCCAATATAGGAAAGTCTCCATGAAATTTGAGTACTTAGGCTCGTAGAGGAATCTGGCCATCCCTTTATTCATAAGCAGAGCCCAGCATTCAGCCTACCAAAGACCTTAAACTGCATGAAGTCACTATGAACCACCCTTAACAGATTTCTCCACGCCCGTCCCCAGACTCTACCTGCCCATTCACGGTCCCCAATGATGATCCGATCACAGAGGTCACACATGTGATAACTCCTCTTGTTCTCCGTTTCACTGCATGGCATCTTTACTGGAGCAGCCACAGGCTTGTGGCCCTGAAAGAACAGGGGTGGGGGAAAGAGGGAGATGGAAAGGAAGCAGTTCAATCAGAGAGATTTGGATGTTATTCTCTGATATTAAGGGGAGTGGGATTTTCCCAAGATTCCTTTTCCTCATTCCAGACAGCAGGTGGATGACGGACAGATTTTAGCAACAACCTTTCTAAATGTGAAAGCAGAAACACAGCCTCCAGGGATCTAAAAGCAGCCAGCCCTTCTGCTCTATTCCACGAAGAGAAAGCTTGGTTCCCTGACATACCAACAAAGGTGCCAGCTGAGGAAAGCCCTCCGAAAGCCAGACAAAAGGCAGTACTGTGATTAATAATCACCTGGATGAAACTCTGCACGATTTCAAGAGCACGTTCAAGAACAGATTCCTCCCACTTCGAGACATCAGATACTTCTAAGCCATATACTGGGGGGACATTGGGACCAGGTCCTAATGATGACAAAGAGAAGATGTGAGAGGTCAGCCTCCAACACCCAATCAATTCTGCTCCCAGGACTCCAGGAATCCTCAAGGGAAATATATGGGGACAAAGAAATAAACATTCTGACCATGCCATACATTCTAACCAGAAATATGAACAAACAACTACATGCAATTCGAAAATGACCTAGAAGGTTCACTGATCTACATAGCCAACAAGTCTAGCTGTATAATCCAGACTTCCAGAGACAGGGTCTTTCAGATCAGTGAGAAAAACAGAGTGAAGTAATAGCTCTAGTGGTATAAAGATAGCACATCACAGGAGTAAATAAACTAACAGCTTCAAGTAAATGCCTGTTCTAAGTTCCCTATCATCTTACAGTGATGTTGCTCTGTGGCAAGCAGGTTCAAAGCTCTCTAGGAGCACACTAGGTTCAGGTTTGTATATATTCCCTCAGCAGTCTGGCATTCATGAAACTCATTGACCCCATACTGATAATCAGGGACTGGGAACAGAAGAGTTATCAGCCAGTGAGCCACTAAATCTGACAACTAGAAAGCCTTGAAATGGAACTAGTTGAGCCCCTTTCTTTTAGGAAACAGATCTACAGGCGTATTCAAGAAACACCCTTAGGTAAACACTTCTGAACGGAGAAGAGACTGGAGACAGCCTAGGGTACAGAGACAGGCATTTCATCCATTGGAGCCACCAGGTTTAGTTTCTGCTGGTAGCCTCCCCTGTCTCTGGACACACTAAATTGCCTTCCACAGCTAGGTTAAGTCAGTTGCCTAAAGGCAAAGAGCATCTCCCCATGGACAAAAACATCAAAGTCCTTAGGATGCCAACGGCTGGCAGGTGCTGGCCTTTGGATTGTGCTAACCACAAATAAGATTCTTCATAAAATGGCCTGGGCCGCACCTGCCGCCACGCGGAAAGGTGAGACCAGGAGGGTGCAGGCAGCATCCACAGCACACCTGGCCTTGGCTAAGCTCTGCACCTGTTTCCAGGCCACTCTATATTTTCCCTTCCCCTCTGAGTCCTTTGTTGGGCTTCTGTGCCCTGTCTAAGCACCTTTCAACAAGTTCTCGGCTCCCAGCTGCTATTTCTGGCTTGGGTCCAAGGCCAAGTTGGGGCGGGGAAGTCCCTCTGGCTTCCTGCCAGAACCCTATCCCAGCCGACCAGTCCCGGCCAATCACACACAGCTCCTGGTTTACAAGGCAGCTGTGCCTTTCACTCTAGCACCAGGGCTGTGCCGGCACACACATGGATGAGGAATGGGCAGATGGTGCTCTGGGCCGTCGATCCCTCTGGACTCAGAGATGGGGGAGTTACTGTGGCTTTACCAAAGAAGGAAGTTTCAAATCATTATAAAAAACATCTTTTGTTACAGACTAATTGTTAGCCCTGGGGAGAAGGAAGCTGCACTGGAAATCTGTAGTAGTGAATTTCAGTTGATTCAATTCAATTTCAATTTCAGCTGAAGCAAAGAATTCTCCTACCTAAAAGGACATGCAGAGAAAGCAGGGTAAGGAGAAGGCAGTGTGCAGAGCCGGACGGTGCCACGGCTATGCTAGAGAGGTCTGGCAGAGGGCAAGATCCGGAGAAAGAACTGTAGTAATGGGTGGGCAACAACATGGACCCAGGTGCTTATGTTCACAGACACTGAGGAGCAGAGTGGGGGCCTCAGCGGTCATCTATGACTGAAAGCAGAAGTCTAAAGGCAAAAGGTAAATGGGATGATTCAGAAGCATATTTAAAAAGTGCCTCTAAGATAAAGTTGGTGTTTCACTTGGATTGAATCTCTTTTAAATTAATCTCTGTTTAGCTCATAACCACACCATTTCATACCTGAGGCCCAATACCAATGCTGTCTAGCTAAAGTTATAGCTACAGGAGGGGCGCCTGGGTGGCTCAGTCAGTTAAGCGTCCGACTTCAGCTCAGGTCATGATCTCACGGTTCGTGGGTTCGAGCCCTGTGTCAGGCTCTGTGCTGACAGCTCAGAGCCTGGAGCCTGTTTCAGATTCTGTGTCTCCCTCTCTCTCTGACCCTCCTGTGTTCATGCTGTCTCTCTCTCTCTCAGAAATAAAATAAAACATTAAAAAAAAGTTATAGCTACAGGAAACAAAAAGAGTGCTATGAAGTACGGGGGGGGGGTCAAACCTGCATTCAGAACTCTACTGCTTATTCAGCTGGCAGGTTTTTGGCAAGATATTTAACTTCTCAAAGCCTCCATTTCCTTATCTGTAAAAATAAAAGAACAGCAGCTATCCCGCAGGCTCAGTAATATATGTATAGCACCAAATTCAGTGTCAAGGACACAGAATAGGGTCAAATAAACAAGAATTTCCTTCCCTGCTCCTTAAAAGTGCTGCTCAACTGAAGCTCAGGCTGCAGCATTCTAAAGCAGCCCGTAACTGAGTATGAAGGCGATGCAGGGAGAGCTGGTGACAATCTGGCTCTTTATACTGCTCATCTGGCCCAAGAACTGTTTTTCTTTTTTTTGTTTGTTTAAAGTTTATTTATTTCTTATTTCTTATTTATTTCTTTATCTCTACATCCAACACAGGGCCCAAACTCATGACCCCGAGATCAAGAGTCTCATGCTCTTCTGAGACAGCCAGGCACCCCAGAACCATTTTAATTACGAGAGTTGCCCTATAGAAAGTTGACTGCACTTCAAGTACTAAATTTGAAGCTAAAATCAACCCTGAGCAACCCTGTAATGTTTTCTGAGACATTACCAAAAAGTATCCCTACACAGTCATTTATGCAGTAGGCCCTCCCCCAGATCAGTTCCCCAAGTCTTAGAACAGGTCCAGAAACTAAAGTTCCTTTTCTGGGTGAGGTGAGGACACCTATCAGAAACAGACCTAGGGGATAAGGAAAAACATGAGACTTACTGCTCAAAAAGCGGTTTTTAACCCATCGGTTTTGCTTCCGGGCATATCTCTTGGTCACTTGTTTCAAAGACTCAATACCTGAAAGACAAGGTAGATCTAAGAACCTCTTAAGTTCTCACCCAGACGAAAGGCAAGCCCTCCCGGCCCAGAAGAAGACAAAATTAACCACAGCAGCACACTGGAATACACCTGGTAGACAAAAATGTCAATTCTGAGCTGAAGGCCATTTGGGACTCTTCTGGCCTCAGCTCTTTCTCAGACCATACCAGCGGGATACCGTGGCACCCAGGGATGTCCAAAGCTAGATTAAATGGAGGAATTCACACCTTTCTTTAGGAGCTGGTTACTGGTCTCTGGTGTGCATTTTCCCTCAGTGACCAGGTACTCATGGAATTCCTTGAAGCCAATGGATTGGAAGATACCATGTTGATAGTCCTGGCTGGGAACAGGAGAGCATTGAAGCCAATGGATTGGAAGATACCATGTTGATAGTCCTGGCTGGGAACATGAGCCACTGCATCTGATAGCTAGCAGGGGCCTTGGAGAAGATCTAACCATTTCATCTCATAGATGAGAAACTGAGATTCTGCTTCTCTAAACACCTTCCTCCACCCCCACCCCTGCCCACACCAACTCCCTAGTTAATTCCCTTGAAAACTAACTCCCTAAAATGTCTGACAGATTAGAAAGTGCAACTGTTAACAAGTACACCGAACCTCCTTCCAACAAACCTTGTCAATGCCAAGGACAAAGGCTAATAAAAAACAAGCAGATCCCAAACCGTATTACATTTATGATCTTTTGCCCATGAGCAAGGGATGGAAAGTAGGTCAAAGTAATAGCCAAATCCTCACCTATTTTCTGCAACTTTCTTCTGATTATAGCGCCTGTGAAAATCTCTTAGTTCATCCAAGAGCCCAGCAGCGAGCATGTCATCCACCCTCTTATCCAAGCGTTCATCTAGAACTTCAATCAAATTAGCCCATCAACCAGCAAGCCCATTGTAGGTGCCCACTATACATTTACAAGATGAATGGACAGGCTGCCATGAAGAAGAACATTTGTTCAAGTGGAAGAAAGGGTTCAGACTCCAAAGGTTATAGAATAATTCATATTATTTTTGTCATACTTAAGACTCTCCACTTCAATAAAAACATCCAGAATGAAGCACATGGCTTATTATATAAAGAGAAAGCATACAATTATAGCTGTTAGGAAAAGACAAATATTTTATTAAGGAATGTGTATTCATTCATTGTTTACGTTGGAGGCAGACTTGAGACCCCCTGGTTTACTCTTCTTACTTTTTTCCATTATATTTGTTACTCTAACTTTGTGTTATTTCACATTTATAAACTTTCAGATGATACCCTGGATAGGAATAAAAACTTTAATCCAAACCTATTCTAGGTACATTGTGAACTCCTGAGCCAGACAAAGGGGCAAGGGGTCATATTCATTCAGATGTGAAGGTCAAATAGTTTCATTATGAATCAGATTCCATTATTTTATGCTAAACTGCAGTACACGTTTTTATTTACAAAAGAATCCATTAAAAATTATCCTTTTCTATAAACTTGCACCTGAGATTAATTTAACAACGAATTTTCACCATTTCTATCATGTGCTACGTTATCTACCATTACTACTTCTCCGCCTGCAGTAACAGTAACCTTTTTTCCTATCTTCCTAAAAAGTTTGTATTTGTTAAGGACTTATCACGTGTTAGGCACATTCTGGGCACTTTGTATGTATTATTACTATTATTTTATTATCATTATTTCTACTTTGCAGAAGAAAAAATTGAGGCCCAGGAAGATAAACCAACTTGCTTTAAAATTCACACAGCCAGAAGATGGTGAGCAGAATGTGCATCCAGTCTGGCTCAGAGACCGTGCTCTTCATCACTACACTCTACTGTTCACATACGGACCTAGCTCAAAGGTTACCTTTAAAAATGGGTCCCTGGTTGCCCCCAATAGAGTGCTCATCACCCCTTCTCTGTGGCTTCACAGCACTTATCACAAGGTAGTATCTATCTCGTTTGCACCCCACTGGACTGGGAGCTCCTAAAAACAGGCACCGTCTCATATTCATCTCTGAAATCCAAGTACTCTGCAGTGTACTTGACACTTCACTGAATGCTCACTGAATGTTAGCTGGATGAAGTTAGTGCTATCACAGGGCATTATCATACTTTAGCAAAAGAAAACAAGACAAAAGAAACCCCATATCAGGCTAGCTAACTGACTATCACACCCATTTGTCAGGTGGGCTGCTTCTAGAATAATCAGTGATGCAGCCTCCATCTGGCCAATCCAGGGAGTCAGACCTCCTTCTACAGAGACTTCCTTCTCTTTCCCTGCAGGCCTTCCCTGGATGGCAGTCTGTGCTCATGCCACCACCTCATCCCATCCAGCCTCACTATCTTATCCCAGTGACAGAGCTACCCTTCTTCCCATTCCAGACAGACACCCAGGGGACGGGAACAAAGTGCCTCATTAAGTCAATGAATAATGGTAATTAAATTAATAGCTAACACTTGTTTAGTGCTTATTATGAGCCACTCATGGTTCTAAGCATTTTATATATACAGTAATATAATAAGGTCTATCTCAGATGGACTCTAAGTCATCAAAGGGCTTTTACCTGTCTGGTCAGCATGAAGCCAGAGGATGCAAAGGTTAGGGAACTTCAGAGGGCCTCCAAGGGGACCACCACCTTCCTCTGCATGTTGACGATGAAGAAATTCACTATGAGAGATTCCTGTTTCTTCAAACACTTGCAAGCTCCTAAGTCATTTAAAAGGGGGGGGGAGGGGCACACCCATAAAAACTATTAGCAAATCCTGATTCTCAAGTGAAACAAGGAAAGAGGCAATTACAGAACATTTTTACTGCATCAGCTCCCAAAGCCATCAAGGTCTGGGGTTACTCCAATCCTACAGCTACTCAGAAAACAATCCTGGGGCACCTGGGTGGCTCAGTCGGTTAAGCGTCCGACTTTGGCTCAGGTCATGATCTTGTGATTGATGAGTCTGAGCCCCACATCAGGCTCTTTGCTGACAGCTCAGAGCCTGGAACCTGCTTCGGATTCTGTCTCCCTCTTTCTGCCCCTCCCCAGCTCAGTCTCTCTCTCTCTCTCTCTCTCGCTCTCAAAAAATAAACATTAAAAATATATTTTAAAAAAAGGAAATAATACTAAAGAAAACAGGATAAAGTAAGAACAATACTATTCTTCTAAACATACTAAATTAACTTTTCTGAAATCATTTAGGTTCAAAAACAACAGGCTTCTTCTACACAAATAGAATGGGACTCACTCACCCTCAGGTAAGCAGTAAAAGAGCTTATTTGGGAGACTGTTACAAGCCAACAAGTCCAGTCTCGCTGGGATGCCTTTCCCACACTACAAAAGTATGTTGTATATCCAGCTCACCAACTTTCTTTTTAAATATGTCTCAAGTTAATGAAGAACACTTCTGACTACTTTAGTACTCTACCAGCCCAAAGATCACTGAAGAAAGAACTCACACACTTATTCTCAAGCTACCATCTACCCCGTCCGTATCTATTATGTTAGGCAGCACTAGGTAATTTAACTCTCAAATCTATGCCACTCTGGATGATTGCAACTTATCAGCTTGAAAGTGATCCTTCCCTTCCTGACCCAATTCTACTTCCTGAAATCCTAACACAAGGGTAGAGACCCCTTGTCTCTCTGTACACTGGTCATTCAAAGAGGACCTATGAGGGAAAATATGTAGTAATAGGTAATCTCACTTATCTGGAGGTTAGATTTAGTCTCAAACTAAAAGAGAAATGAAAAAGTCTCTATGTCCTCTCTAAAGAAGAGACTCTAGAGCTCTTGCTTAGAACCTATTGACTCTTACGAAGACACAATTCTCAACTCATTACTAGTTTAGAAGTAGCAAAATGAGGGGCGCCTGGGTGGTTCAGTCAGTTGGGCAACCGACTTCAGCTCAGGTCATGATCTCATGGTCTGTGGGTTCGAGCCCTGCACTGGGCTGGGCTCTGTGCTGACAGCTAGCTCAGAGCCTGGAGTCTGCTTCAGATTCTGTGTCTCCCTCTCTCTCTTCCCCCACCCCACCGTGTTCTATCAAAAAGAAATAAAACATTAAAAAATTAAAAATAAAAGTAGCAAAATGAGGAGATGTGATAAGAAAGAACTGATTAATAAAAGGAGAAGATAATAAAGATCAAGCTCTAGGATTATGTCATAAAATAATATAAAAATGAATGCTCATCATGTTTCCATATTCCAAAACCTTTTGAAAGAGTTCAATTAAAATGCTTTAAAATAAAATGTTTGGATACTGAAAGTATAAACTTCATTTATCTAGAATGTGCATTATCAAGGGGGCAAAAAACCTTAGGTATTACAATGATGTGTGACGCTCCAAGGTAACCATACCTGAAGAAATATTATTCTCAGTATTAAATTTCATGGAGGGCAGGGAGGCACAATTAGAAAAAAATTTCTTAAAAAGTTCTGGATGTGTTGGGGGTGGTGGGAAATAATGAAAAAAGGATGAAGAAACACTGATCTAGGGGTGCCCAGGTGGCTCAGCCAGTTAAGCATCTGACTCTTGATTTTGGCTCAGCTCATGATCTCAGTTTGTGGGATCGAGCCCCATGTTGGGCTCTACGCTGTCAGTGCAAAGCCTGCTTGGGATTCTCGCTCTTTCTCTCCCTCTCTGCCTCTCCCCTGCGTGCATGCTCTCTCAAATTAAATAAAAAAACATTAACAAAAAATAAACCCTATCAATACCAGATGTTGCTATAATATTTAGTCTGTATAACCAACCATCCATATAGTAGGTCCCTCATTATATCCTCTACTCTGTCAGATTATCACTCCCAACACTGCAAAAAAAAAAAAACAAAAACAAAAACCTAACACACGAGGCTGCAATTTCAAAACATCCTAAGAAAACATGACCTTGTGAGTTTATTCACCACTTCTCTCTTCCCTTCAAGAAAATCTCCATATGTAAAGGTGAGCTGATCCATGAGATAGTTTATAAAATCCACCTCCCACTGGGGAAGCTGCTGGGGCAGAACTCGGCATTGCGCAATCAATTATGAAACTCAAATCACAATGTACACCAATTGCATGCCAGAAAAAATTTATATGAAAACTGCTATACAAGCCAAGATCAAATAGAAAACGAAGCACAACTACTTAGGCCCTAGGGAAAACTCTACTGTACTATACATCTTAAATTAACAACAAAGTTGGATGCAATTATTTATTGAAGGAGGGGGATTGAAGCAGTGACTGGGGGCCTCTCGAACTGTGAGCTAGAACACACCAATCCCCCCTAACTCCTATTACCAACCTCTCTCGTTACCAGGCACACGGAATGATTTACTCAACTTCAGAGGGACTCAAAGTCGGCGGGCCCAGGCTTTCTTACCTGGCCACTTTGCGCTTGTCATGTGGGTGCAGCTTGGCAGCCATTTCTGGGTCCACCTGGCTTAGGCGTTTGTGGAGTGCATGGCCATCTTCCTTTTCAAGCTCTACTTTCCGGTCAGTCACTTTCTCAGTGTCCATCTCCTGGGGCTATTAAAAGAAGGTCTACAAGTAAATTTAATTCAACAGTTCAACAAACGTTGAGACAGTGTATGTGTCAGGCACTTTGCTAGGAGCTAAGAATACAGAAGAGAGAGAAATCAAAAGGTCTTGGCATATAGTAAGACAAAGACCATATAACAGAATACACTGTGGTGTGTTGTGAGGCCATAGCAAACAAAGGAGGACTTACTGCCTAGGGAAGTATGCGGGTACCTGCTTCCTTGTCAGATGTACAAACAGGAACCAGAGCTAACATATCTGTATGAACATATCCATGAGTCTAGTCTTCTCAGCAAATGACCAGACTGGAGCAGAACTGCCTGCACATAACAGTTTGCAAAGTCTCACCCTATGCAATAGCATCTCCATAAGAAAGGTTAGTGTTTGACCTCTCTCTGACATACAGATTGTTACAGCCAAGAAATGCTGAATCAGACTGATGAACTGTTAACTTACACAGAGATGCTAATTAATCCACAGAGAAGCATTTTTTCCCACACACAGCCCTTACCCTCAGGCCACCCTGGAGGAGCACACTTCACATATGGAGGTTGCACTTGCTTCAGAATATTAAGTAAGAAAGTTACAGTGGCTGAGTAGAAGAAATAGGCAAAAGTCAACCTTCCTCCTACTAAAATTAGCTACCAAGAAAGAGGAACCCATCTCCTCAGTGACTTACAAGTGAACTAAACATACCTTAGTATTGACAAGAACTTTCCAGAGCAGAGACTCAATGTAGTAATTGGTTCCTCCCACGACAATAGGAATTTTGTCTCGGGCAAATATATCTTCAATGTGAACGTTAAGAAAAGTATCACAATATTTAATATCAAGAAGAGCATCCTGACTCACCTGAGAAGGAGGGTATTAGGAAGAAACCACACTCATTTATTTGTCTGGAGAACAGAGGGGAAAGGGTGGAAACCAAGATGAATTGGTATCAGTCTTCACTGTTTCCCAGGAGTCTCAAAAAACACTCCCTATTAGTTCTGGAGGTCTTGTGTAAACCAGAGACAAATGCATGATGGTAATTCCTTCCAGTTCTAGACATTTCTAGGCCTTGCTGCTAAAATTCAAAGCTTGCTTGGTATTCCAAATCAGTTTAATGAGCACAAGCCCAAGGGCTCTCAGAGAACCAAGTGTCAGCTGCTCAGGAAGCCACCAAGGTGACGCCCGTCGTGTGACTTTGCCTTCTAAGGCAAAAATACAAGCTGGTTTCTCTAAGCCATGGTTCTTGGACTCAGTCAGTCCCCACCATTATGTGGTAGCGGTGCACATTTCAGTCACTTGAGACTCCGCCAGATAAACTGAAAAGCATGGGTTCCAAAGATAAATAGATTTCAATGACCAGCTCCAACTCTCTGGCAAGTTACTTAGTTTTCTCACCTGTAAAACTCTCCAGAATTCTTCAGAGCACTAAATGTGACAAGACCCTACCACAATGCCTGAAATATTTGCTTTCAACTGAGTAAGCACTGAATTTACTTGAGCCTCTATTGTTTTTATATTCCTGCTGCTTTGAATTCTTCTTTAGAATCTCTGTTGAACAGATAATTATCTGCTTTATGAAGGGCTTTGCTTCTTAGGATAATTGATAAAGAGACTTTCAACCTAGACAAAGACTCATTTACACACTTCTTCCCCTTGCCAGGCTGTCTGTGGGCACAGAGACGGATGAACTCTTTTCTATCAGTAGTCCACTAACCCCAAAGAGGCTGGGGTGGGGTGGGAAGAAAGCTATTACCAATCAAGGATCATAAAGAAGAAACATTGTCTATTTGTTTTTTAAAAAGAGGAATTCTATATTCCAAACCCTTTAAGCATAGGGAGTTACATAGTAATTGTAATAAAAATTCAAATATATGCTATGATTAAAAAAGGGAAAGGGAGCAAGGAAAGCAAAAAGGGAAGGATAAATGGTGAGATGCCAAAAAGAGAGAGTGGAAAAGAGGGAAGGAGATGGGATAGGTGATATTTGGTGGGAAAAGGTTCAACTTGTTTGCCCAAGCCATGAAACAACTGTGATTCTGAACAAAACCCTTCTTCTCTCTGGGGCTCAGTATCTAGTATCTTCAACTGCCCAATCAAGAAAGCTAACTAAGGGGGCACCTGGGTGGCTCAGTCGGTTGGGCATCCGACTTGGGCTCAGGTCCTAATGCCATGGTTTCTGAGTTCGAGCCCTGTGTCGGGCTCCGTGCTGACAGCTCAGAGCCTGGAGCCTGCTTTGGATTCTGTGTGTGTGTCTCTCTCTCTGCTCCTCCCCCACTTGTGCTCCAGTCTCTCCCTCTCTCAAAAAATAAATATCCCTTGCTGCCCTTTGAAAACTCCATTTTCTATCAGTTCCTTTTGAGCCACCAAACTGTCTTAAAACAACAACGGACATTTGCTGATATGTTTTAATTTGCCAAGGGCTTTCATATACATCATCTCATCTGATACAACTGCCTCGTAAAGCAGGCAGGGCAAGAATATTATCTGCATTTTAATCTCTGCCTATTTGATAGGCAAAAAAATATGATTTCGTTATTTTGATTTGCATGGCCTTACAGCAAGGGTAAACCCTTTTTCATGCTTACCATTACTTATGTTTCTTTCTTTGTGAATTACTACTAAGGCTCATTAAGTATTTTTCATATTGATTCATAGGAGTTCTTTATAGGGGTGTCTGGGGGGCTCAGTCGGTTGAGTGTCCAACTCTTGGGCTCAGGTCATGATCTCACACACTGGGCTCTGTGCTGACAGTGCAGAACCTGCTTGGGATTCTCTCTCCCTCCCTCTCTCTGCCCTTCCCCTGCTCACACACATACTCTCTCAAAATAAGTAAATAAACTTATAAAAAAGTTTTTTATATAAGGATATTAATCATTTGCCTTTCCTAAGTTACAAATATTTTTCCTCTGGCTTGTAATGTTTACTTTTGTTTATAGTGGGATAATTTTCCTTTTTTTTTTATTATAAGATATTCTATACATACAAAAGAACATGTAAGTTAAGAAACCTAATAATAAACATACATGCATGAACCCAATGTAAGAAAGGGAATATTATCAATTCTTTTGAAGCTTCTCGTGTATTCATTCCCATCAGCCCCCTGCTTCCCCTCTCTCTGGTGAAACCTGACACTCACTATCCTAAATTGTTTTGGTTTTTTGGTTATCAAAACCTCAATTTTCTTTACAGTATTCCTTTCCATTATTCCTGTATATGTACCCCCTCCCAGACAATATACTGATTAGCTCAGCTTTTTAACTTTTACAATAAATGGTATGAATGTGTATGCATCCTTCTATAATTTCTCACATTTTACACTGTTTCTGAGATTCTTCCATACTGGTTGCTGCGTGAAGCTCCAATTTATTCATTTTCACTGCTGAAAAAGTATTTAACTGACATGAAAAAGGAAATTTTATACATTCTTCTGTAGGTAAGAATTTAGGTGTTTGTGTTTTTGCTGTTAAGAGCAATGCTGTTATGAATGAGATCTACCACCTGTCTCCTGGTATGCTCGAGGCAAGGTACTCTAGGGGAGATGTCTAGGAGTTTGCGTTGCTCTACATTCTTGCCAACACAAATCCTTATAAAATACTCAAAGCTAACTATTTTCCTTTAAAAAAATAAAATAAAATAAAGAGGGGTGCCTGGGTGGCTCAGTCGGTTGAGCATCCGACTTCAGCTCAGGTCCCGATCTTGCAGTTCATGAGTTTGAGCCCTACGTTGGGCTCTTTTGTGTCTCCCTCCCTCTCTGCCCCTCCCCTGCTCCGCGCGTGCGCGCTCACGCTCTATTTCTCTGTCTCAAAAGTAAATACACTTCTAAAAAAAAGAATTGTTATGGAGATGGGTAGTGATTGCTGCACCACTGACTGAACATATTCAACACCACTGAACTTACACTTGAAAATAGGTAGGGGCACCTGGGTGGCTCAGTCAGTTAAGTACCCAGCTCTTGGTTTCGACTTGGGTCATGATGATCTCACAGTTCAGTAGTTTGAGCCCCACACTGGCTCCATGCTCACAGTGTGGAGCCTGCTTGGGATTCTGTCTCTCTCTCCCTCTCTGCCCCTCCCCCACTCATGTGCGTCTGTGTTCTCGTTCTCTCTCAAAAACTAAACTTAAAGAATGTGGCTAAGTGGTAAATTTTGTGTGTATTTTAACACGACAAAGGAAAAAACTGAGTTAAAAAATCCATCAGTGGCACCTTGGTGGCTCGGTTGGTGAAGCAGTCGACCTCGGCTCAGGTCATGATCTCAATTTTGAGCCCCACAACAGGCTCTGCACTGTCAGTGCCTGCTTGGGATTCTCTCTCTCCTCCTCCCCAGCTTTCACTCACTCTCTCTCTCTCTCTCAAAATAAATACTTTTTAAAAAATCCATTTAAAAAACCTTTTTTTTAAAAGACTATATGTCTACAAAGTCCTTCCCTAGTCTAAAATTACACAACTGCTCAATTATATATTTTCCCACTTCTTTTAAAGTTCCATTAAGAATACACATATTTAACTCTGAAATCCATCTATAATTTATGTCATATAAAATGAGGTTGTGATTTTACCTTTTCCCAAAACAATTAGCTGTCCTAGGAACAATTATTTTTTTAATGTTTATTTTTGAGAGACAGGGTGCATGTGTGCAAGCAGGGGAAGGCCAGAGAGAGAGGGGGACAGAGGATCTGCACAGCAGAGGGCCTGACGCAGGGCTCCAACTCAAGAACTGTGAGATTGTGACCTAAGCCAAAGTCAGACACCTAATCAGCTAAGTCACCCAGGCACCCCATGTACCAGAAATAATTATTAACTACTGCTTTACTTCTCCACTGTTCTGAAATGCCACCTTGATCATAAGTTAAATACACACATCTATTTGAATTTGTATTCTGAGTTTTCTCTATTCTGTGCCATAAATTTCTCTAGTGTAAGTTCCATGCTATTATAATTATTATTAATTGTCATTATGTTTTAATATCTAGCAGTCCCAATATATTTTTTTAAAGTAATCTCTATGCCCAAGGTATGGCTTGATTGAACTAGTCGCCCTCGAGATTGAGAGTCTCATGCCCTACTGGCTGGGCCTGCCAGGTGCCCCAGCTGGCACTCCAAATATTAAAGGCAGTCTGGACAATTACAATTCAAAAGCAGTCTCCCTTATACTAATCTTTTCAAAAATTTATTGGTATTGAAACTAATAGAACACTATCTGTTAACTATCCTGGAATTAAAATTAAAAAGGTAAAAAATCACTGATCACAGGAAAAAAAATTGTTTTAAGAAAAAAAATTATTGGTGTTTCGCAGTCCTCCCTCACCCAACAATCCCTATTAAATTCTAACTGTAACCCTATTATATTTATAAATTGATTTTGTATCTTCATTTAAAGGGTGGGGAACTGAAGCTCAGTGGGGTAAATGCTCTACCAAATAAAATCCACTTGGCCCAGAGACACAGTTCTGGGATTAGCAGACAAATTTTCTGGTTCCTAAATGAGTATTCTCTCCACTATAACAGCTTCTCGAATTTTAACATGCATATGAATCACCTGGGACTCTTGTTAAATGCAGATTCTGATTCAGTAGGTCTGGAGTGAGGCCCAAATTCAGCATTTCCAATAAATGCCTAAGGAACGCTAAATGCTGGAGTCTGAAAACAAAGGTCTGAGCAGCAAGGGCACTGTATCTTTCAATCCATGTAGTTCCCACAGATTCCCCATGGTGGGGACGCTACCTATGGGCTGTTAGGGCTCGGGTGCCCCTGTTTAGAAGAAACTGCCACTGAAAAGAAAACTTCTTTATTGGCTTGGGCTGCCTTGCACCCCGAAGCCTAGCTGCTGTCTTTCCCAAGGATATCAGAGCAGTTGCCTTGTTCCTGAAGTCCACAACGGTATAATTTGTCACAAGAGGATCCACGAAGCTGATCATGTGGTGCTGGCACATTCTCTGCTCTTGGGCAGAAACCTTGTTGGTGATGATGTCTAAGCCTTCATAAACCTAAGGGAAAGAAAATCAGCATGAGAGTCACCTGCTTCCATAAAAGGCAGATTTGATAGATAGGAATGGTGATCTGTACCTCCCTCTAGCCAAACACGTGGTTGACGCAAAGCCCCAGAATAGACGTGTTCTAAGCATATGTGTTCAGAGCACCGCAGACCCACGAAACCAAGACAGGAGAAAACACAACACTGGCTTTCTTATCAAATAGTGGCTATTAGCTTAGACTTAAAGATGAAAAATGTATGTAAATCAGTACTCAAGTGAGAACTAATTCTGCAAGATTAACTAACTGGACGTTCTTTAGGCCTGAACTTTAAGCATTTAAAAATGGGCAGGTTGTTTTATTTATTTTACGTATCACAAGTCTCCAGAAAGGTAACATTTTGCATTGCTCATAGTTCTACTTCAAATGCTTAGATATTTCTTGGATTAAAATGCTTTAAAACATTTTTAGACTTTGTATAGCATTGGCTCCATTTGTGGAGAAGTGGCCTATTTACAGAGATACATATAAAACACACACATACACACTTTGAAGTCAGAACCCCTAATACTGCTACACTCTAGTGGAAACATTGTGATCTAACCAAATTACTGCTTCAGGGGGTCAGCATATACAGTCTAAATACTCAAAGGCAATATCCTGTCTGTAAGCTCTTGATCTGCCAATTCAACTAAAAAGTTCAAATGTACTTTTTTTAAATGCAAGGTCTCAGATGGAGAGCAGATCTGAAAATACCAGTTTGAAAACAGGGATGAATGCTTTGAGATTAAATGTTCTCTCTGTAATCACGGATTCTACAGGGAGCATTGAATGAACAAATAATAAGTTCCATAGAGCCCACAAAGATGTTAAAAGCATTTTTTATCTCACATTTCCCTTTACTTACATGGGTGTCGATTAAGCACAGCACAGTATAATGGTTAGGAGGAAGGACGCTGGCGCCAGGCTGCCTCAGGTCAATTCCTAGCTCTGCCACTTACCAGTTATTTCTACCAGTGGAGTAGTCAGTTACTAACTTCTCTGTGCCTCAATCCCTCATCAGTAAAATGAGGATAATAATGTCTATCTCATGGGGTTGTTGTGTGGATTAAGTGAGTTAATACATGTAAAGCACTTAGTTTTTGCCGAACACACTGCATATACTATAAAGGGTCATTACATTACCACCTATATTATAACCATTACTATCACAACATAAGGATAATGGGAAATAAGTTTAGTGTCATTATTTATCACTCTGAAGCCTCCGTGCTCTCAGCTAGTGAGATTTTTTTTTTTAACCCAACAAGGACAGAAACTATTTTCAAGTAAAACAAAATTGTTAATTAGTAAAATAACTCACTTAAGAAATATAAAGAGCCATGAGGAAAGAATCAGCTTTGCCTTGAACTCATTTAATCTGTGCCTGACAAGAGACTTGCATTCTTACACCTGTATATTGATGGAATCTTAAATCATAGGGTATTCTTTCTGTGTATTTTGAACAAGACTTCCTTCTGATGTTATAAAGTGCTGCAGGATATACTGTACAATGCAGTCTTCTGCACAAGTGAAGTAAACTAAAGGAGAAAAGGAGTTAATAACTGTGTGTTCCTCTCCCTCTTTTTCCACAAACTTTAGCTGGCTCTGTTGCATTCCAAATGACCCAATCAGTGTCAAAGAACTTAAATAGCAACAACTTGATTTTGCCAGTAGAAGATTTCTGAACCTGTAAGTGGATTCTCGTTTTTAACACTGAGATTAACGTTAAGAAATTACAGCTGCAAATGCAAAATTACCATCCCCTACTTCCAAAAAAGCCAAAATGTAAACATTTCTACCAGCATGTTCCATCTAATATATAGATAAATTTGTAGATACATTTTCTTTCTTTTCTTTTTTTTTAAGAGACAAACCGAGCACGAGAGGGGAGAGGAACAGAGGGAGAGAGAGAGAATCTTCAAGCGGTTTCACGCTCAGCACAGAGCCTGACACGGGACTCAGTCCCACAACCCTGGGATCATGACCTGAGCCAAAATCAAGAGTCAGTCACTCAACTGACTGAGCCATCTAGACACCTGATAAATTGTCATTTTGAGTCTTGTCTTTTAAGTGTATCTTCTAGAACTCCTTAAAATAGTAAGTTTAAACAAATAAACACATCAATATAAATCAAAGAGGAGGTAACCCCAGAATGAGGCTCACCTTATTTATTAAAGGAAGTATCCTATACTACTTATGGTATATGCAAATGCCAACAAATATCAGAAAGAAGTATTAATGGTTTAAGGAAAGCAGACTTCTTGCTCACAGAGTTAACAAACTAAAAACTATAATTCATACAAAAGTACTACATCTTGTTCACCAATGTGAATTGTCCTCATTGAGTGATTTGTCAACTTTTTGTTTCCCATACCACTGGATTAAAATAAACTGGGCATAAAGGTGGGTGGTACTAAATAGGTATCTGATGATAAAAGGATTGTTAATGTTTAGGTATCATATGGCTTTATGGTTTTGGTTTTTTTTTGTTTTGTGTTTTTTAAAAAGATTCTCTGGGGCACCTGGGTGGCTCAGTCGGTTAAGTGTCCAACTCTTGGTTTCGACTCAGGTCATAATCTCACAGTTTGTGGGTTTGAGCCACATATCAGGCTCTGCGCTGACAAAACAGACCCGGCTTGGGATTTTCTATTTCCTCCTCTTTCTCCCCCTCCCCCACATGTTTAAAAATAAACTTTAAAAAAAGGAGTTTTTTTAACTTTGAGGTATACAGTATACTAAAGTCCTTATGAATGGAAATATATATGTATATATTTAAAGAAATGAGAGCTGATTCAAGGTTATATCTATAATGATGTTGCTTCACTCTTCCATTCTATTATGACCTCTTTTGACAGTTAGAGATGTGCTGTAAAGTTGAGCTTACAAATGACTGTGCAACTTGTGATCACAGCTACTGTGTATTTTTTTCATTTTACCCCTGAATAAATTTGAAGGCAAGGGTAGATGAAGGGCATATGTAAAGTACATCTATAGCTGCACTGCATGAGAGCAAGAACAACGCTGAAAAGACACTTGTTAATAATGACACAAGAATTATGATCACTGGGGTGCCTGGCTGGCTCAGTCAACTAGTCAGTAGAGCATCTGACTCTTGTTATCAGGGTCGTGAGTCCAAGCCTACACTGGGTAGAGATTCTTTAGGGAAAAAAAAAAAAGAATTATGATCACTAAATGAAAGGCAGTACAACGATGCAAGTAAAATTTGCAGTAACATTCATACCATTAAGATTTTATGTTTATTTTCTGCTTTTAACCATAGGACAAAAAAAAAAAAAAGAAAAGAAAGTATATGATGACTGGAATCTGCATTCCAATAATGGTGGAAGAGGGATGGACTAAACGAAACAGGATTGGCCAAGTGTTCCTAACTTACTGAGGTGAGGTGAGAGATATACAACAGTTCGACTGGTATTCACTCTATTTTTTTATATGTTGGAAAACTTCCATAACAAAAAGTTTCTATAAAAAAGTGTGGATGTAGTTCATACACAGAAATGTTTATTATCAAAAAACAAAAAATAACAAATGTTGGTGACGATGCAGAGATATTAGAACCCCTGTGTAGTACTGGTGGGAATGTAAAATGACACAGCTACGGATGGAAAACAGTATAGTCATTCATCAAAACATAAAAAATAGAGGGACACTGGCTGACTCAGTCTGTAGAGCACGTGACACTTGATCTCAAGGTTGTGAGTTCAAGCCCCACAGTGAGTGTAGATTACTTAAAAATAAAATCTTAAAAACAACACATAAAAAAACAGAATTACCATGTGATCCAGCAACTCTGGGTATATACCCCAAAGAACTGAGAGCAGGGAGTTGAACAGATATTTATACACCCATGTTTATAGTAGCAGCATCATTTACTGAAGCCAAAAGGTAGAAGCAACCCAACTGTCCATCATGAATGAATGGATAAAATGTTATTCCATTTTTATTCAGTATTAAAAAGGAAGGAAATTCTGACACATACTGTAACATGGATCAACCTTAAAGACATTATAAGTAAAATAACTCAGTAACAAAAAGCCAAATATTCTATGAGTCTACTTATATGATGTAACTAAGGTAGTCAAAATTCAGAGACAAAAAGTAGAATGATGGTTGCCAGGGGCTGGGGCAGAGAAGAATGAAGGGTCTGTATAAAACAGGCACAGGGGCATCTGTGTGGCTCAGTCAGTTAAGGGTCCAACTTCAGCTCAGGTCATGATCTCAGGGTTCATGGGTTCAAGCTTTGCTTCAGGCTCTGTGCTAACAGCTCAGAGCCTGGAGCCTAATTCAGCCTCTGTGTCTCCCTCTCTCTCTGACCCTCCCCCACTAATGCTCTGTCTCTGTCTCAAAAATAAATGTTAAAAACATTTTTTAGGGGCGCCTGGGTGGCTTAGTCGGTTAAGCGTCCGACTTTCGCTTAGGTCATGATCTCACGGTTTGTGGGTTCGGGCCCCGCATCGGGCTGTGTGCTGACTGCCAGCTCAAAGCCTGGAGCCTGTTTCAGTCTGTGACTCCCTCTCTCTCTGACCCTCCCCTGCTCACACTGTCTCTCTCTCTCTCTCCTAGAAATAAATAAAAATATTAAAAAAAAAAAACATTTTTTAAATTAAAAAAATGGGTACAGAATTTCAGTGGAGATGGAGGGTGATGAAAGCTGCAGAACAATATGCATGTGCTTACTGCATGGTAAAACGGTAAATTTTATGTCATGTGTATTTTACCGCAATAACAAAGAAAGACTCAGATGACAGACTTTCAGTACAATGAGAAAATAGTGAATACCTGCAATGAAATTAAATTTTCAAAAATTTGTTGAATTTTTCAATTCCTTTAAATATATACCCAGAGGGGCGTGTGGGTGGCTCAGTCGGTTAAGTGTACGACTTCGGCTCGGGTCATGATCTCACAGTTCGTGGGTTTGAGCCCCGCGCCGGGCTCTGTGCTGACAGCCAGCTCA